ACATACAGGAAGCTAAAGAGGCACTGCAAAGTTGGGGCACCGATTGGTTAGCCACATGAATAGAACATCCAAGCATTGACCTAGTGTGTGAGTGACTACATAAACTTCTGATAACACCATCCCTACCAGAACAGTGAATTGTTTCCCAAATAGTAAACCATGGATCACAGGTGATCTGAAGAAACCTCCTAAACAGAAAAAACAAGCCTTTAAAAAGGGGGGCATTGACCTAATAAAGAGTAACAGAAGTAACTTAAGGTCAAGATTAGAGAAAGCAAGGAGGCCTACAGGAAGAGGCTGGAAAGCAAGTCCCAGTGAAACAATACCTGAGATGTGTGGTCAGATATAAAGAAGAACATAGCTTTCAAGCAGAAGGATAAGTAGATACAATTCTGGACAGAACAAATGAACTAAACAAGTTCTGCATCATTCTCTCCTGCTCACAGTCAAAATTAAATATTGACCCAAAGCTTCTTTGTTACCCCTCAAATGTTTCATCCTCCAGCTCTGCCACTGACCCTCCTACTTATGTTTGTTCTTAGTCAAATCGCAAGACTAGGCTGCTCCCTCTGCCTTTCACCTGCCTGTCTCTAGAACTCAAGTGAAGAATCAACTAGAGACTGAATCGCAATAAGTCCCCAGGTGTTAATAGTGTCAGCACCAGAGTCCTGGTGTCTTGTGAAAAGCATCTCTATGGTGTTCTACAGCACCTATTCAGCCTTTGCTGGACCCAGCACACAGTTCCAGTTAAGTGGAAGACCTCCTCCCTTATTCCAGTACCAAAGAAAACTCAGCCAACAGTCATCAGTGACTATAGACCTGTTGCCAAGACATTCCACATCATCCTAGAGAGACTTAAGTTAGTTCACCTCAGCAAAAAAAAAAAACAGCAGCTATCAGGGACCCCTGCAGTTTGCTGATCGCTGTGGTGTTGAAGTTGAAGATGCCATCACACGCCTGCTTCAACAACCCCCTTGTCATTTAGATAAGACAGACAGCACTGTGAGGATCATGTTCTTTGATTTCTCCAATACATTTAATACAATTCAGCCCAACTTACTTGTGAGAAACTTCAGAAGACTCAAGTGGAGGCATCAACAATCGCCTGACAAATGGAGCAGAGTTTGTTTGACTGAAGGGTCAACTGTCTAATCAATTAGTCAGCAGCACAGGAGCACCACAGGGGGCAGTACTCTCACCATATCTTTTTAGTCTGTCTGACGTCCAGTACAATAGTCATGTTATCTGCAGAAATACTGGGATGGCTTTGCAGTCGGGTGCATTAGAGATACAAGAACCACTTTGTGCCATGGTGTAAGAATATTCTGATCCTTAATGTTAGCTAAACAGTTGGGATGATTATGGATTTGAGAAGAGACCGGAACAAGCTGCATCCTATCATGTCCTGGGAGAAGAAGTTCGATGGTGGAGGTGTATATATACCCTGCACTAAAATGTTCAGATATATGTAAATTCATTACAGAATAATTTCTCATTAACTTATTTAGATAATTTTTGCACAAACCTATTAAATACACCTTACATTAATGATATTCATTTTTATATTAAAGCTTTTTTATATGAAATGCATAATCATCAGGTTTATGTATTTAGTATTTATAAAGTATACTTTCTGAATGCTAATGTGTGATTGCTTTTATTTTAGATGCGTAAAGTTTATTGTTTGAATTACATAGAGGTAACCTAAATGTTATGTAATTATAATATATGTATATACAATAAACCCAGGATCATGACAAGTTGTAGCACATATATCCACAACCTGTGAGATCTCCTTCAGCTCCTCACATCTAAGTGCTGTAGGCACTGTATCAGAGAATGTGCTGATTGACCCCGGTTACGTTTTTGCTTCATTATGTACTTCAAAGCAAAAAAAAAAAAAGTCACACAGAGCAACGCACTGCGCTGTGAACAAATGCGTCTAAAGCTATGTGCATGTTGGATAGCTTTGTTGTAACAAAGAAGTGAGTTTTATTGTTTTGGAAGCCTAGAGTGTTAAATAGTTTGGGCTTCCACATATTCATCTTCATGTTGGATCATTTATTTATGCTGCTGTGGCCGTTTTTGATGTGCTGAATAGACATTTGCTGGACTATTTTAAAGGACACTGAGTGTTTAAATAAAAAAAATATATATAAATGAAAATTAAGGTATAAATTAAATGTTTTTTATTCTACAACTTTTCCGATATTGATTTATGAAACTTGCATTGAAGAACAGCTAGATCATGCGCCAGAAAAGCTAAATTTAATTAATTGAATAAAGCTGGCCATCACATCTACAGTAGCAAAATGCTATAAAAGCCCAAATGAAATAAAGATAAATGTTTTCCCTGTTCATATGTATTACTATTATTATTATATTCAATATGGCATGGCAAGCTAAAACTGTTCCTAGTTTGTGCTTATTATGTAACAAAATTGTCATATTTTCATTGTTTTGCTGGTGAAGATTCTCAGTCATCCAGGTCATAGTCATTCCAAAAAAAGTTAAAAAAGATTCTACTGGACTTTTTTTTCCAAGTTTGAGGAAGTTTCGCTTCCAATTTGAATTTTCAATTTGAATTGAAAAAGCTTCCTGGATGGAAAGCAAAACATCTTCAAACTTGGAAACAAAGTCCAGTGGATTGTTTTTACCTTTTTTTTTCTTTTTCTTTTTTTTGAATATTTTTATTTTGGGTTTTACTGATTCAAAATGGTACAGAAAAATTGTTATTAGTCTAACTGACCTATAGTTTATGTTGGATTTTATTTTATTCGGTGCATACATTTTCTTGTGTGCTGAAAATGTGGCAGCAGTATGCCATTAAGATAGCACACAGCTTAGAGGGAACAATGGATCAGACTATACTCCTTAAGGCAGCTTAAGTCCCTCAATGTTTGCATTGATATGATGCATATCTTCTATAAGTCTGTCGTGGAGTGTTCGATCTCTTCGGCCATCGTATGAGGTAAAAGCACGAGAGCAAATGACTTTAAAAAGCTCAACAATATAATTGTTCATTCATTTCAGGAGATTGTTAAACAAAACCAAGATGCCTCAATGAGAGGCTTTTCTGGGTCCGGTGGGAGACAGACTGCTACAGAAAATCCTTCCTGTTCACAGCTATCAACACATAGTACAACTGGTTAAAAAAAAAACGAAAAACTGCGAGTTACAGGAACATTTAATTTCTCTTTGGGATTAATAAAGTACTTTGGAATACAATTTGAATTAAAGATTATTTAGAGAAAGCAGCAAATGTATGTCTTTGTTTTGCCTGTATCATAAACCATTTTCTTGCCAGAAAGAGTGTGAGATTTTTAGTATAAATATTGAGGTAAAAGTAACTCAAGGCCCTTTGTATTTGCCTGGACTGTGATTTCTAAACCATTTCTTAGGTTTAGTGTAATACTTTTCAAACATTCAGCTATGTGTAAGGTTTATCTGATTGTTGGTTGAGGTGAAATTAACGTATCAATGCTGAACTATAGTCAGCCTTGTATTTGGGATGCCATGCAGGTGTCTGGCTGTGCAAGGTCCAGGTGTTTATACTCTATAATGATGCTAGTACAGTTCTCTCTGAAAAACACAGGGGGCAGTTGAAATTTAGTAACAGAGGGGGAAAATAATGTTTTACACCTACCAAAAACAGCTGTATTCCCCATCAAAACGATATTTCTTGTCAAACTTTTTCTGTTACTACCATAATTTTAGACTTGAGTGAAAACCCATTTGGATGAAACCACCCTAAGACCTGTTTGTACAGGATATTGAACTTCAACGACTCTAATTAATGTGCACAATCTAACTTTATAACTCAAATATTTCTCTTTGTTATTTTTCTCCTTTTCTCTCTCTCTGTTTATCTCTCTTTCTTTAAGTGAAAAATCAACATGTCATTACTTTTGAAATCAGACACTTGGCACAATGCTACCATGACCATGTTACTCACAAATCTGGTTCTGGTTTCAGTAAAACAGGATAAAATGAAGCTTCTTTGGATTATGCTTAAAAGTCTGTGTAAGCCTGTGTTAGGAAACCATCCTGGTCTAAAAGAAGCCTGTTAAATCTGCAAAAAAATATTATGACAAATATGAAGAAAGAATTTCTAGAGGGTTTTTTATTGTGGTTAAAAAAATACAACACATTGGTTATGTAGACAATCACACTGTAAAAGCTTTGTGTGTTTAAATTGGGTTCTGAATCCAGAGCCATGATCCTGGGTATATTTGAAAAAAAAAAAAAAAATGTAATTAAATTTAAACCTTTTAATGTTCATTTCATTGCTGTTGATGTTACATAATAATTCCATTTCAAAATATAGTCTAAAATCAGCATCAATAACTTAAAGACTAAACTTGTGTAAATAACTCCTGACTGTGACTGCAGGTCATGTGCTGACTTCATACCTTAGACAAAAGTAGTAGTTTGCCTAACACTCAGAGGCAGTGTGCACGGATCAAAAGTCCCATATTTATGTTTGACTTCAAGTATAGGTTGACTAGCAGAGCACTTCTGGCCGCTGGTCTGTCATGACATTATTGAGAAAGTCTAATTTCTTGCTCCACAGGAGACTTTATTAAACTTTGTTTTGCCCACAAAACAACTCTAAAAGAACTAAGAATTAGGTTTTTATATCAGATACACATTTACTGACATTTGGCATATTCTCCTCTTGTGCACATAAACTCATATGCATGCATTTAGCTATCAACATCTAGAAATGTGAATTTTACATTCAGGTCAATGCACCGTGAATTTTTAGCTATTTATTATAATTTTCTACAAGACAAAAGGCTTCTAGATTTCCAAATATTGCATTAAGTGTATTTTTAAAAAGCTTTTCTAGACACATTATGAGAGCTTCTTAAATGTCACTCTTTGTGGAATCAGAAAACTATTTTAAGCAGAACTAGACTCAGAATCAGAATAGTTTTTGCAATGACAAGTTAAATTTTTTAACATGATTTTATTTCATGATGTATTTTTTGGAGCAGATGGCCAAAGACAATGGCTGGCATCCTGGCCTTCCTGCCTTGTGCTCCTTCAACCTTTGGATCTTTCCCCAACCGCTCTGGCAGTGCCTCCCACCCCTCCAGCCAAAGGCAGAAGAAGGCATGGCGACGATGTGATCGAGCTGGGCGATGGGCTGAAGAAGACTACACTCAGTGCCCATATGCCAGTGAACTGACCCGTGTGCTCCATCAGCTCACTCAGGTACAAGTGCTAATGAAAAATATCACCTAAACCAAAAATAGCTGATTTATTTAATTAATTATCTTAGCATATTTGTTTTTTTAAAGAGCTTTCCATGCATGTGTGATATGTTTTTTTAAGTGTTAGACCTAAGACATACAGATGCATCTTAATCAGATAGGATATCACCAAAAAGATTTTTTAATAACTCCATTCCAATCGTGTATGTAATATATTAATTACCGTATTTTCACGACTATAAGGCGCACTTAAACGTCTTTTTTTCCCTCAAAATGTGCGGTGCGCCCTATGGTGCGGTGCGCCCTATGTGTGTTGTAACTGCGACTTTTGAGACCACCTCATTGAGGAGATGATGAAACAGTGGCTGAATGTAAGGAGACCAGGTGTTTTTTTTCCACTCATCACCATCGCTGTTAATCTGTAACTCCATGCGTGCCCATCTCACAGCTGATGTCAAAAACATGGGGAAACAAATTAACGCTGTGCTCGCTGTTCAACCGCTCGACATCGGTGTGAACCGGACGCAGCAGGTGCAGCAGAAGCAGCGAGTTTACATGCAAAGTCAATGGTTGACGCGCGTATAGGCGCAGCAAAAGGTCCCGAAGCGCGTTTTGAGCAGCAGGAGCGTTTAAGCATCTGCCAACGCGCTGCTCCTGCTCGAGATGGAAAAATTGAAGTTTTGCTGCTGGACGCGCCGCATCAACCAATCAGAGAAGCAGATCTGGGAGCTGACAGTGAGACAGACACAGCGCTCTGATGACATATGATATTAACGCCAATGAAAAGGGCTGGATGGATGAGGAGATGATGAAAGCGTGGCTGAGGCAGGTGTATGTGAGGAGAACAGGTGTTTTTTTCCACGCATCACCATCGCTGCGTGCCCATCTCACAGCCGATGTGAAAAAAAAATCAGAATCAAGTTTATTGCCAAGTAGGTTTGCGCTTACAAGGAATTTGACTTGGTGTTGTTGGTGCAGACAAAAAACAAAACAAAATAGCAAAATAACTAGGTGAATCAATGGACGCTGTGCTCGCTGTTATCCCGGGGGCTCTGACAAAGGAACTTCAACCGCTCGACATCGGTGTGAAACGGCCGTTCAAAGTAAGGCTGCGAGCGGCGTGGGAGCGATGGATGACCGACGGAGACCACAGTTTCAGGATAAGTGGAAGGCAGCGCCGGGCAAGTTACGCCACCGTTTGCGGATGGATTGTAGATGCTTGGACTAACGTGTCTGCTGGCTCTGTTGTTCAAGCTTTCGCAAAAGCCGGCATTATTTCTGAGGAGCCGCGCTGCACGGAAAATGACTCTCACAGCGAAGAAGGGGAAATTGGCATGTCTGATTTAGCACAGCTGTTTAATTCAGAAACAGAGGATGATGACTTTGATGGGTTTGATTAATACTTTGTAATAAATACATGAATAAAGCACAATCATACTCAGTTTTGCTCCCGCTCTATTTTTCTACCTGAAAACTTAATTCAACAGCAGCCTCTGGGCCGGGTGTCCTCCTCTTCAGCGCGGTGGCTGGCAGGTGTTTTTTCATCTAAATAATCTAAATCTTGCAGCTATATTTGCTGTGATCAGTGGGAATAAAGTAGTTTTAATATGTTTTTTAAGTGAGAAAGTCCACCTGAAAACTTCATAATTGCAGTCAGTTCATCCAGATTATCTATTTCTGTCGGAGGCGCTCAGACCCCCACATACCAGCGGTGCACCGACAGTAGAAATCCTTTCATCAGCAGCCTCTAGGCTGGGCAGCCTCCAGGTTCACCGCGGCTGCTGGCAGGTGTTTTTCATCTAAATAATTTTAACTGCAGGCACCAGGATACCGGTAATAAAAGCGAACATATTCCGTCGGCAGGTTTCAGGATTTTAAGTTAATTTAGAAGCGATCACAGCGCTGTGTCATCTGCGATGTGTCTGTCTCACGGCCAGCACCCAGGTTTGATTAATACTTTGTAATAAATACATGAATAAAGCACAGTCATACTCAGTTTTGCCCCCGCTCTATTTTTAAATACGCAGTAGAGGTATTTAAACGTAGTAGAGGACATGTACCTGTATATAAAAAACGCGCCCTATAGTCCGGTGCGCCTTATGTGTGTGTTAAATACAGAAATGGCACACATAACTGAGAGTGCGCCTTTTAGTACGGTGCGCCTTATGGTCGTGAAAATACGGTACATTATATTTCATATATTTCTTTCAATAAATGTCATAATCACAGTTTGAAGCTAATGAAAGACTAGTAACAATTTATTTAAAGGATAGTGCATAAAGATAGTATACCACCTGTCATAAACATTTTATGAATCTTGTTATTAAGAGTCACTGGGTGAATTATTTTTAAATAGGAAGTGACATTGTTTAAAGCGTCTTTGTTATGACAAAGACAAGCAATAAACAACATAATAGAACATAAATTGTAAACACTTGAAATGTGTGCGTTGAAATTATATGATTTTATAGAATGACTGCAACAATTTAATATCATAATAATCCTCTAAATTATAAAGATGCGACTGAAGTCTTGAAATGAAAGGCACTAGGTGCTTTAAATTGCCAACATGTTAAATTTTGTGCGACAAAAAAAAAAAACATAAAATACATGTTGTTTCTAAATATTACTTTTTGTTTCAGATACCAGTTAATATCAGTAACGCCCAGCCTTTGGGTCAGCAGTTGGTAGCATTTACAAGCAAGACCTCCCACTTTACTGACGTTATGGATGTCATCTTTGTCACTCACCTTGTGGAGAGATTGACAAGGCTGCTGGACAAAAACAAAGATGTAAGAGTAAATTTTTTTTTTAAGTTATTGTTTTGAATATAATGTTGTATTTCTTTAGAAAAGTGAAATTTTTACACTAACTGAACTATGGGCACCAGAGGAAATAGCGGGATTTCATACCACTTTTAAGGTCATATATTGTAATGAGAGCAGTGCTGAGACAAGTAAGTAAGAAGAATTTGTTGTACCTTTCACTTGCATTGTTAATCAATGTAGGTCACTAAGAGGGAGATAATATTAGAAGATACTTAGTGCCCTATTATTCAGAGGACAATGCACAAGAGACCATCCTCATTTAGGCAATGAAAAATAGTCAAACAAAGCAGCTATAAAATATATAAAGGGTAAATAGCAAACCACTATCCCAAAGCAGCGATTAGGCTCCATTGGAGCTCTTAATCTAAATTAAATCTCTTTAGAAATTAAAACACCATTGTCTACTCTGCAGTTCTGACGGGGTTATAAATGTACCTGTTGGGTGGGATTTATTTTAAGTAAATTCTTTGTGCATTTAGATAAATGTGGTGTCTACATTTACCCATTCCTTTGGAAAAGTACTTAATTTACCTTAACTTTAATAACACTTAGTTATGCTTCATTTTTTAGAAATGCACATGGTAAAAATGCAGAGTGGTATATATACTGTATGTAAAATGGTAGCTTAAACAAACAGGGTACTAATAATATACTCTTTTATTAACAAATCAATACTAAAAATGATGCTTGCAACCGTAGCCCTGCTGAATCGTTTTTGTAGGGTATTACAGTTGCAGTCCTTTGGTGCATCTTCTTCAACTTTGTACCTTTAGACAATCCCAGTTTTCCATAAAATGGTGGTAGTTAACTTTTAGCTTTTACCACGGGTTCTGAACTGGGTTCAGATTTGAAGGTCGACTAAGCCATTCTAACACATAAACTAGAATCATCACTACTTATACTATTGTAACTCTGGGTGTATGGTTAAGTTTTTGTACTATTGGAAAGTGGTCTGATCATAGTAATTATACTTTTCTGTCTGTGATATGTTTTATATTTATACATGTACAATATTTGTAAATCATTTTTTAATTTAACTGTGTTGTAATCAACTTGAGGTAGCATCGATGTCCCTGTCTAAGAAAAGCATGATATGTTTATATTGTGAAATGTAGCATTACTTTCAACCCATAAAAAACATGGAAATCCAAATTCCACCATAGATTGGCCCTCTTACAGCATTTCCTTGGTATCTTCTTTTAATCTTATCTGTGGCTCCTTCCTCTTTGCTGCTTAATTAAATAACACTCTCCTCAACCTGTTAGTTTAGCTTAGCTGATATGTTTTATTGGTTCCCATATTCTTTTAATTTTTAAAGGTTTAGAGGTTGTTGTTAAACCTAACCTTTCCTAAATTTCTGTTCAGTGTTATACATGTCTGCTTTGTTCTCTGGTCTTCACAATGCTGCTTGTTCAATAATGTCCTCTAACAAACTACTGATGGATTTATGCTGAGATAACACCCAGGGGGACAATTTCATTAAGTGCCTTTTGAAGTCACTGCATACACTGGAGTTTTTTATAAAGATATATGACTGAGGGGAGAGAATGGAAATGGGCAACACACTTCCCAGAGTGTACTTTAAAAACCTGGAAAATTATGTGTCTTTTTTTTCCTTCCTTTTAATAAGGATGTACTACTTTGTTCTGCTCTGTCACATCACATCCAATGAAAATACATCACAGTTTGTTTTTGCGATGTTTCCTCAGCTGGGGGACTGTATTTCCGACATAGCCAGTAACATGATGCTGGTAGAGGAGCATATCTTGTGGATGGCGCAGAACGAGGCCAGAGCATGCACTCGCATTGTCCAGTGTGTGGAGCGTATTGCTGACCTAACGTTGACGGAAGACAATCAGGCCATTTCAAAGGTGTGTTACACCCAAACAATACCTAGAAAAATGTCAGTTTTTTGATGAATGTCCCAAAGCTTTACTTTCTCCTTTGTCTCAGAATAATGAACTGTACAGTATATGTGGCTAATCAGACAAGCAGAATAATGAAACACAAGGATAAATTGCTTCCTCTCACTGTTTCATCTTGGCTCTGCCTATCCTCTCCTCTCGCCTGTCACTGGAAACAAAAGCATATGCAAAATAATTAATATAAATTCTTTGCTGTTTTTTTCTTCCTTTTTTCTCTCCCTCCACCCTTTCCTAAACCTTTGGTGACATTTCCCACAGGTATCTGCTAACATAGCTCTTGAGGCTTTTCTTATCAAGTCTTCAAATTTTCTTGGTTTATCCTGTACGGCACTTCAGCAGAGCCCGACACTGCACAGCTTCAAAACCCCATACGGCCCCCATACAAAGGAAAATCGGCAAGAGCATGAGGCCATGCAAGAGTCATTGCTCAGTTTTAAATGTAACACTCTAAACAACACCAGCAACTCACCAGCCCATCAGCTCAGCAAGGTAAGAAACAAGCAAATCAGTGGTTGGAAATTAGCAAACTCTTCCACTTGCTTCTATGACTTGACAATGTTGGTGAAATGCATTAAAGTGAGCAGGTAATGTTTTTTTTTTTTTGTTGTAGTTTTTTTATCTGCATGGTTGAACCCTGTGTGATAAGCTGGCACACCTTGTTTTTTATGCTATAGATCATCTTGGGGTTATGTATGGGTCAGTCCCTTCATAGAGGTCAGCAATTTTGAAGATTGTGAATGAGAATCACTCTTCATGATGGATATGACGGCCTTGTGTTCTTGACGCTTTATATCAGCACTACCATGGCCCTGGTTGTGGCTGTTCCAAATGACAGATATAGGCATTGCTCCTCCTCAGCAAGCAAGGAAAGCAATTATATCCTTCTGTTAAATCACCCAAACAATGAAAATAATTCTATGGATGTTTTTCAAGATCTATAGCCATTCTGTTTTACTTAATTCGCTCTTTGCCTCTTAAAATTTACGGCACTCGTTATTGTTTTAGACTGTGGTATACTTGCATATGTATAATAATAATTGAACATCATTGATCTCACAATGGAGAAAATCACCTCTGCATTTGACCAATTTAACCCTGGGGAGCGATGGGGGTTAAGGGTCTTGTTCAAGGACCCAGAGTGCAGGTTGTGGGGATCCAACCGGGTACTAAACACCTTCTCAGAGCACAAGTGCACTGCTTTAACCACTAGGCCAACACTCCCCCAAATATTACTATTTCAAATAAAAAGTTGCATATTCAGAAATCAAAGTTCAGCTGACTGTTTTTAAATAAGTGATTCATATTTTTCATTTGTTAGTTCAATTTCAATGTGCATTAGATGCAGTGCTATGGTAATGGTTGTGTTTTTCCTTTTAACAATTGTGCACGTATCATTAGCATGAATATTTCACCTATCGTCCCTCTTTAACAATGTATTTAGCCATTTTTTAAAGATGCACTAATAATACAACTATTGATGTTTTTTTAAACAAGCTTTAGGTGCATGGTTTCAAAATGTGTAAACACTATTTTATAATTTCTATAAGGTCAAATAGATTAAAGTGTATTTTTTTATACAACTCTTGCTGGGTATGTGACCACTCTCTTTCATAAAGACAGTGCTCATAATGGATTTCGTTTAAATTACTCTGTCTTAAGACAATATCTTTACTTTTAAACTTATTTTTATTGGAATTATTTGCTTAAAGATTATTTGTATGGTTGAGATTGAGGATTTTTCAGAAGTTTGACCTGTTTTTGTCATGTTCGGATTAATGTGTCTAACCCACATGCAGAACACTCGGAGGCAGATGAAAAAGTTCATAGATTTATTAATAATAAATGTACAAAGTATGTTCAGATCCAAGAGGGGGCTTGACTGGTCACGATTGCAGTGTTGGGAAAGTTCTCTTTCTACGTGAACTAGTTCAAAGTTCAGTT